AAAAAAAAAAAAAAAAAAAAAAAAAAAAAAATTACCCATGACCGGATATCTCACTCCCAGTCTTTGATTTAATTGGCTTGGGCTCAGTTCTGGGTATTGTGGGTTTTGAGGCTCCCTGTGATTTTAATGTACTGTGAAGGTTGAGAACCATGGCATTAGATAATTATCCGCAACTGTTTCTTGTGTGGCGCCACCTGGATATATCCTGCAAGCATCTTGCACTCAACATGGGCAACTTCACCCCAGCCTTGTGCCCCTCCTGTGTCCCCCACCTCTGTGAACAGCTCCGCCATCCAAACAGTGGCCCATGTCCAAAACCTAGATGTCATTCTTTTTTCTTTTCTTTTTTATCATAAGATCAACATTTATTTTCCATAATGAATTTCCTCAGTTTTGAGTGTACATCTCCTGGCATTCTGAAAATATATATATTTTCTGTTATTTTCAAAGTATTTTTTAAATTGAAGTATAGTTGATTTATAATATTGTGCTAGTTTCAGGTGTACAGCAAAGTGATTCAGTTATACATATACGTGTATCTATTCTTTTTCATATTATTTTCCCATATAGGTTATTACAGAGTATTGAGTAGAGTTCCCTGTACTATACAGTAGGTCCTTGTTGATTATCTATTTGATATATAGCAGTGTGTATGTGTTAATCCCAATCTCCTAAATTACCCCTCCCCTTGCCACCTTTGCCCTTTGGTAACCATAAGGTTGTTTTCTAAGTCTGTGAGTCTTTCTGTTTTGTGAATAAGTTCATTTGTATCATTTTTTTAAAGATTCCACATATAAGTGATATCATATGATACTTGTCTTTCTCTCTCTTACTTCACTTAGTAGGATAATCTCTAGGTCCATCCATGTTGCTGCAAATGGCATTATTTCATTCTTATGACTAATATTCCATTGTACATATATACCACACTGGACGTCATTCTTCCTCCTTTCTTCTCCCTTGTCCATTCAATCACCAAGTCCTAACAGTTCTGCCTCCTAGGTATTGCTTGAAGGTGTTCACTTCTGTTGCAACTTGGGCCAGGACACTTAATTTCTTCCCTGTCTCTTGCCCTACTCCCCTTGAAGCCCCTCTCCAATTCTTCAGCTTGAGTGGACTGTTCAAGCTTTATTTGGGAGCTCACATAAAGCTATGACATCACCTTACCACCTCTAACCACCACCACCCAAGATATTCCCCTCCAGCATCTCAGCTGGTCACTATATCATCCTCTGTCACACTTTTGCATGTACTGGTCCCTCAGCCTAGGACACTGTTCCTTCCACTCCTGCCTCCTCACTTTCTTTGTCACACCTTCCCACCCTCCGCAGCTCCTCTCCTGATGTGCACGTTCCCTCTTCCTCCCTAGGTTATTTCCACTCTTCCTTTCCTTGCCCTCTTTCAGCCTGTTCACCATAGCTTTCTTAGTCTTCATCGTAGTGTTTGAGCTCATCCTCTCTCCTCTCCTGTTGTCTGTGATTCCAAGCCCCGTTCCTCTTTCACTGCTTCACTAGACTCCTTAAAGCCTGTTCCTCACACGTGTGTCTAGTTCTGCAAACTCTAGCTGTGGTCCCACACCTGCCTTTGGCAGGAAGCTTGGAAGGAAATGGGTACTTATGGGCCACAAAGCCCTTGGAAATTAGAGCCACTGGACCTCCCTTCCTGATAGCTGGACCACAGTTCTGGGGACAGTTGAGCCACCTTGGGGACAGACATGCTCTCTGTCCCTCCTGATCCCAGAAGTGCCAAAAGCATAGTTTCAGCATTGTTCTCCAGATGTATTTTTAGGCTGGATGGTGAATGAGACAGGTTCAATATTGCCTTTGCCAATAGAACAATATAGGGTGGACCCCTTGTGCCCAGAATGAGTTACTGCATGCCCAGGGATTTGGGGTAACTCTTTCAAAATTTTATCTGCAGTTTAAGCAATGAGGAGAAAGTTAAATGTCTAGGTATGGGTATTTGACAATATTCTTGTTAAGTGATTTTCCTGAGCACAGAGTTTAGAAGGGGGGGCCATGAAAAAACAAGCAAATCCCTTGCAAATCACCCTTTCTCTACCCAGGGTTTCCTTTGTTTCGGGGGCTGTCCTGTGCAATGTAGGATATTGAGAAGCATTCCTGGCCTCTAATCACTAGATGCCAATAACACACCCTTCCCCACTCCAGTTGTGATGGTCACAGTTGTCTTCAGATATTGTCAGGTGTCACCAGGAGAGGCAAAATCACCCTCTGTTGAGAACCCTGGCTCTAGCCCAACCTCCCATTCCCTGAAAACCTCTGGAAGGCAAGTCATTGTAAACTCCAACATCTGGCCATGACAGGAAATTGAACCAGGGGTATACCATCACCACCTTGATGTCTTCTGAATTGGTGTCATAAATCAATCAGCTTTCTCTCCCCTTTTCTTGCCTCCCTCTTTTCTGCTGACATTACAGGCTGGCCACACTGTCCTTGGACACTGCAAAAGGCAGTTATAGAATTTGATCAGGGGAATGACTGCACAACTATGATTTGACTGAGAAGTAAGACGTTCTGTAATGTTTGTCTCAATGACTGAGGAGAGACACCTGCTCTCAGTCGTGACTTGTGGCACTGCAGCGTCATATGGAACATATTTAAGTTTATAGAAAAAAAGGGTTGTCATGTTTTTCTTTGTTCAGGTTGAGATAAGATGAACACATAACAATGTATACATTTCAGATGTACAACATAAAAACCATGGTTAGATGTCACAAAGTAGGTGGCAATGCATTACCCATATGTGTGTTGTCAGGCCTGGGGCCTCTTCCATCCATCCTTGTCAAGGAAAGTGCTAACCCTCTCCTTTCATCAAACACTGTCAGGCTTTTCTTTTTCATTACTTTGACCATTCTTCACACCAGGTTCCCACCTAATATTTGTGCACCCCAGGGTAACAATATGAGCTGAAGCCCGATACCATATTTAAAAGTTACTTATCTAACTAATAAACTTAAATATGTTTTATCTTTCTACTTTGGCAATATGCCTTGATCACAATCTGGAAGGCCATGTTCAAATTTAGGCTTCTCGGTTCTCTACCAGAACATGGTAGTGTGTGGACAGTTGGCTCCTGGCCTGCAGCCAACCCTTCTTTTCTCTCTGTTTGGCCTTGTCACATGCCGTGGAGGCCCTCTGGGTCTGCCTGTGGGCACCCCAGGCTGAATGTCCCAGGTACACATCTCATGGTGGAGAGTAAATGCAGACTTCAGGTGGGCCTGCCCACCAGGGTTTCCTTGCCCTGACAGAAGGGTCACAATTGAAGACGCCAGAGTTGGGCCATCTAAAGTGTGGGACAGTGTATAGATGGTTCTTTCTAAAAGTCTCCATGTTCTGTTCCTTCCCTACCCTTCCCTGAAGTCACTTTTTCAACTGAGACTGGGTATCAAAAAGTAGAGTATTTGTAGTGACCTCAGTGAAAAATGAGTCTTGTCATCTGTCTATCATCTATCTACCATCTATCTATTTACTTATTTAGGTAAAAGACATGTAACATAAAATTTACCATCTTAACCATTTTTAAGTGTACTATTCAGTAGTGTTAAGTATATTTACATTGTTGTGAAACAGATCTCCAAAACTTTTTCATCTTGAAAATCTGAAACTCCATACCTATTAAACAACTCTTTCCCCTCCCCAGACCCTGGTATCAACCATTCTATTTTCTATGAAGTTGACTACTTTAGATACCCATGTAAGTGGAAAAATACAGTATTTATCTTTTTGCGAATGGCTTTTTCACTTAGCATAATGTCTTCAAGTTTCATCCCCCTTGTAGTCTCTGGCTGGATTTTCTTTGTTGTGAAGGCTGAATAATATTCCATTGTATGTATATCATTCACATTCATTGCTCATCCATTCATCTTTCAAATAGATATTTGGGTTGCTTCCACCTTTTAGCTATTGTGAATGGTGCTGCTATGAATATGGTTGTGCAAATCTCTGTGAGACATTGCTTTTAATTCTTTTGGATATATACCCAGAAATTGGATTATTGGGTCATGTGGTAGTTGTATTTTTAATTTTTTGAAAAAACTCCATACTGTTACACCATTTTACAGTCCCACTAACAGTACACAGGGGGTTCTCCACATCCTTGTCCACACTTGTTATTTTCTGTTTTTGATAGTAGCAATCCTAATGGGTGTGAGGTTGCATTTCTCCAGTGATGAGTGATGGTGAACATATTTTCATATCCCTGTTGGGTTGGCCATTTGTACATCATATATGGAGAAATGTCTGTTAAAGTTGCTGATTTTTAAATTAGGTTAATATTTTATATCAAAGAAGAATATCCACATGATAGAAAAAGGCTATTCAGATACTCTTCCCTTTTCCAACTACCTATCTGTAGTTGAATTTTCTTTACATATTTCAGCCAAAATAACATATCGCCACAGAATAAATGCAAAAGTAGATACGAGAATCCAGCTGCCTTCTATTAAGTCAGATAATGAAGAGATTTTGCAAACATGTAAAACAATGCCATTTTTCTCTTATGTTTTAGGAAAATATTTTTCAGTAAAAAATAAAATGTTTATGTTAATATTTAATAGACTTATTGTTAGTTTTAAGTCAATAAATATTTTTAATGGAATTAAGTTTTAATTTCTAATACAGAAAATTATAGATATAACCAATATAAAAAAAAGCTCTTTGCAGGTCCTCAGTAATTTTTAAGAGTAATAAAGGATTTGAGAGACCAACAAGTTTGATAAATACTGTGCTTGAAATGTTGAAGAACTGAAGGCAGTTCTTCAAGTAAGCCAAGATTGGTTCAGAAGAAGAAAAAATTTTAGATAAAATGGAAAACAGTATTAATCACTAACAGCTTTAATAACGGGCTTTCTAGATGGTGATGGAAAGTGGGGATTGGCTGGTTGGTGGTGACCTTCAGGTGCTGGAGAGAATACGGTGGAATGATGGGTTGGACCAATACCGCCTGACACCTCTGGAGCTCAAACAGAAATGTAAAGAAATGAATGCTGGTACGTAGCCTGGCTCTATGGCATTTGTTAATACTCCTAACCCTCTTCTGCTTACAGAATTAAGGATTATCAGGCAACAGCATGTTTATAGTTTTGAAAAGCTGAAAACTTTTATCATCTTCTATTGATATGTCTTTTGATATGGAAACACCTTATAAAGTTGAACTACTGCAATATTATGCAGTAGTTAAAAATATGCACCGACCCAGAAGGATACCCAAAATATATCTATTAAGTAAAAAAAGCAGGGCTTCCCAGGTGGCGCAGTGGTTGAGGGTCCGCCTGCCGATGCGGGGGACGCGGGTTTGTGCCCCGGTCCGGGAGGATCCCACGTGCCGCGGAGCGGCTGGGCCCGTGAGCCATGGCCGCTGAGCCTGCGCATCCGGAGCCTGTGCTCCGCAGCGGGAGAGGCCACAACAGTGAGAGGCCTGCATAC